GAGCCGGGGTCCTGGCCAGGTTGGCCCCTGGGGGGAAGGTCAGGTTGGGGCAGAGGGCAGCATGGGGTGCTCTGAGAGGTGGACACCCTCCTGGGGACTAGACCCAGACAGGAGACCTGCTGCTGGTGTCCCTGGGTCCCTGGCACCAGCTCTGCATGCCTCAACTTCCCTGCCTGCAGTTGTAGGAGCTGGGAAGGTGCCGCAGGGCCTGGGAGGTGCTGTGGGTGTGAAGGGGCTCTGGCTACAGGGTCAACTCAGACTGGCCTCCTGGGGCCTAGGAGAAGGCTCCACTGGTCTCAGGGACTCTGGGACCCCTCCTGCCACACGGGAAAGACCCGCGCTGAGGTGCTGGGAGAGGCCTGTCCTTCTCAGCCCTGGCCACCCCGCCCCTGGGGCCAGGGCAGCCATGGGTACCAGGCCCACCCTTACTGCTGGCTCCCCCACTGAGCCCAAGGGCCTCCCCTAGGAAAGGGGCTGGGGGCCAAATGGCCCTCCCCACTGCTGTCCCCACCCCCTGCTCTCCCCTCCCATCCCCTCTGCTGTCCCCTCCCCTGCTGTCCCCACCCCCACTGTCTATACCTCTGCCTCCCCCCTCCAGGCCTCACCCCCCTCTCAGCCTGTCCCTGTTTCTCTAGCACTTTCCCCTCCAGCTTCCATTGGCTGTTTCTTGCCAGCCTCCCCACTCCAGCATCCATGCCCGAGATCAGAGACTGCGTGTTCTGTTCTCGGTGCCCCTGAACCTGGCACACAGCAGGCCCTGGGGACTGTTTGCCAAATGAATGAATGAATGAAAAGGATGCAGTGATGCAGTGGAGATCACGCAGACCTCGGTTCTGGTCCCATGTGCACGCAGCCACTTCCCATGGCCTTGGGCATGGGTCACCTCTGTGGGCCTCAGTCTCCTCACCTGTGAAATGGGTTCTTCACAGGATCGGGGGGAGATAAGAGGGGCCGAGGACAGAAAGGCCGTTGCCTCTGGCAAGAGTGAGCGGGATGCGGGGGGTGGGGGGCTTCTCAGAATGGACTGGAGGATGAGGCAGGTGGGTGGGGGCCCCCATCAGAGCCCACCCGGGGCCTGACCTCCATAAACCTGCCCCACAGTGACTTAGGGGAGGCCCCAGGCGGCCCCACTCACCTGCAGGGCTGACTGGCTCCCTAGGCCAGACCACCCCCTCCCCCCAGAACAGAACAGGGGCCCCACCTCCCTTCGAGGCCGCTTCATGAGATGCACAGCAAGGTTTGGGAACAGGCTCAGATGAAGTTGTCACAGCGGATGCGGTGGAGATAGGGTTTCTGATGGTTATCAGCGGGCGCAGAATCCGGACACTGACCTCTTTGTTGGGGGAAACAAGGAGCTCTCAGATGCACCTGGAGAATTTAAAGTGGCCGCCCGTTATCCCGGGGCGGGGTGGGGCTGGCCTGAGCCAGGAGGGAGGGACAGGGGCCACCTCGAGGGGCTGCAGGCAGGACAAGGGTGGGGCTTCTTGCTGACCCCGACATGGCCTGTCCCACGTGAGCACCGGGCCCCAAGCCTGGGGGCGCCCGCGGAGGAAGGCAGCCTGCGGTGGCGGTGGCGGCACACGGCACACACGTCTCTGATGGTTTTGGCAGCAGGGCCAGGTGGAGGCATTATAAACAGCCCCTCCCAGGCTTGCTGCCCACAGGCAGGGCAGGGCCGGGAAGGGGGCCTGGCTCAGCCCAGCGCCTTCAACCACCAGAGAAAAGGGCTTCTGTTCCAGGGCTGCTTGGAACTGGGGGAGAATGAGGGGAAAAAGAATATAAATAACTGGGCGCTGAGTCGGCCCCTCCACAGGGGACGCTGGACTGAAATCTGCCCCCACCCAGCGTCCTCAGCCTAGGGCTGGGCTGGCTCCTGGGGGCTGTAGCCCTGCAGGTGTCAGGGGTCCAGCTGCCTGGTGCAGGGTGAGGCTCTGGCTCAGGGCTGGCCGGAGGGGGCAGCCCCTGCACCCCTAGGGTGTTCAGACTGGCAGGGAGGCCACCCCCAGCCCCACCTTCCCTGTGTAAGTGGGGGGCCAGGCCCCTCCCAGAGCATCGGGCTGAGGATGTGGGGTGAAGCCCTGGACCTCCTAGCCCATTTCCCTCCTGGGATCGGGTGCAGGGTGCAGGAGGAAGCCCCATCCTGGCCCCTACGTCCCCCTCCTCCCCGCCCACCCTCACAGACAGCCGTGCACCAGCCCAGGGCAGCCACCAAGCGTGTCCTCAGTAAACACGGGGACTTGGCGAAGGGCTGCCCGGCGGAGGCACAGAGCCGGGTGGGAACATGCTGCTGCCACCTCCCCGCTCTCAGAGCGTACGCGGAAAACTCGGGGCTTCTGCAGCGTCAGCAGTGGTGTTTTTATCGTGCTGCGAACACGCGCTCCTGAGAGTGATAAGCATTAAACCGACTGGGAGGCTGTCAGTCTCAGTTTGAGGGTTTAGAAATATTGGGACGAATAATTAGATTTCATATCGTTACCGCAGTGCCCATCGGAGGATCAGGCAGATTAATTTTTTTCACCCTCCTCCACTCATTAATATTCATTAGAGGCTCAGGGAGGCCCCAGCCTCCTCCTGGCTGCAAGCTGCTGGCCCAAGTCGGCGCAGCTGGGACGCAGGAGCCCCTGGTCACCCGCCGCTGTGCCTGCCCTGCCAGTGCCACTTGTCCCCCGGCCTGTCCCCAGCTGTGGCCTTGGCTGAAACCTCCAAGCCGGCGGGGACCCCAGCTGCGCCCACTCTGTAGCCATTAGAGTCGCCGGGTGCCGCCTGCACCCACCTGCCCAGGCAGGCTCCCTGGTGGAGATGTTTGCCCCACGTTGACATGTGCCAATTGCTGGCCGGTGCCCCAGTGGATGCCAGCCTCCTGGGCCCGAAGGCGTGGCCCCTGCCTGCTGTGTCCTGCTGGCCAAAGGGAAGGCGAGAGCAAGGGCAGCCAGGGCTCGCTTGCTGGTCACGCACCAGGCGGGTGCCATTCGAAAGGGAGGGATTCACATAGATTGCTACTTCCTGATGCCTTGGGGGGAACTGAGTCCCAGAGAAAGGGACGTGACCCGCCCTGCAAGCAGGTGGCAGAACGAGAATGGGTCTGGAGTGAGCACGTGGGCTCCGGCCGCAGCGCCAAGCAGGAGGGTCATCATCCATTTACAGAGAGATGCTGAGGCCCAGGGAGGGCAGACATGGTGGTGGGATGGTGGGTTCTGCTCCCAGGGCCAGGACTTTCCGCTGGCCAGGGTGCCCCAGCCTTGCTGGGAGTTGTCACCGGGAATGCCCGGTCCACGGGCCTGATCTCGCTGGGTCCCCGAGTCTGCCACGGGATGGGGACGAGTCACAGAGGTGGTAAGAGGGGCCACCATGGGTCAAGGGATGGTGCCTTGGCCAAGGTCACAGAGGGGGAGGCCAAGACTGGACTGGACCCCAATGCCCAGCTCTGGAGCCCGTGTGGTCCCTGCAGGCAAAGCCCAGGAAGATGCTGTGGGCTCCGACCTGGCGGGAGATGCCAGAACCCGTCAGAGGATGTCCTACACACCATCACTGCCCCGGCCGTCCCACCATGGTAGCATCCTGGCCCACTGTCATGTGCGCCCCTGGGGTGCACAAAACTGCCCCCGTCAAGGTGGCAGCATTTCCAGGGACAGCAAGTGACACTGGTTCTTTAGTTAAAGGTCCTGGTGCACAAATTTCTGAGTAAAAATCATTTATTTGCATAAAACAAAGAAAAATACCCCAAGTGGACACGCACTGTGCCTTTCCGTACAGCACCCAGTGGCTGAGCTTGGGGACCACCAGGCAGAGCTGCCAGCCTATAACCGGGGTCCAGCACTGAGGCTGAGGCCCGAGGGCGGCAGCAGTCACCCCGACCTCCTAGGGCAAAGCAGGGCCAGGGTTCTTCCCACCAGCCTGCCGGCCACAGCCTGCACCTCATCTCCTCTGCTGACCAGCGCACTGGCCAGAGTGGGGCTGCAGGCGGCCCCGCCCCACCCACCCCTCTCCACACCAGGCTGTGCTGGGACAGAGGCTGTGTGTTTCCTCTGCTGGGGGCCAGGGCGCCGGAAATCAGGCCACCCCCCTCTGTGGCCACCGGCAGCAGCCCGAGGACTGGCCCAGAGCACTCTTTCCTTCTGGGTGCTGCAAAGGCCCAGCTGCAGACCGAGCTGTGGGGAGAGCATGGCTGGGCGAGGCAGTGCTGGCACCGGTTGTCCCTCCCCTCCCTTCCCCTCCTCATGCCTCAGTTTCCTCACCTGTGAGATGGGAGAAGAGCCCTGCCTGCTTTCCGGCTGACAGCGAGGCCGAGTGGGCCAGGGCCCAACCCCACACATTGATGTCAGTCTCTAGGAGCTGCAGGGAGGGGCCGGGGCTGAGCCAGCTCAGTGGGGGGACATCTTGCTGCCTGGGGACCTCAGAGAGCTACTGGGCCCAGGCAGTGTTCTTGGAGTGTCCACTGTGTGTGGGTCTCAGGATGGACGGGACGAAGAGGGGCCTGCCAGGCCCTGCATCAGGGAGGGCGCCCCTGTCGGGGAGGACACGGAAGTACCTCTCTGGGGACATGCCTCTCCTCCGGGCCAATCTCTGCTGGGCCCACAGAGCTCATGTTGGAGGCCTCTGGGGGCCTGTGTGGGAGCAGTCTGGCACAGTCCAGCCCCATGCACCCCATGGGCTGTGCTGTAGCACCCAGTGCCCACCAGGGAGGGGGAGGCTAGGAGAAAACAGGTCTGGGTGCAAATCCCTACCCTGCTGCTCACTGGCTCTGTAACCTCGAGCAAGTTGCTTGCTCAGCTTCCAAGAGAACCCAGCATCCAACCCGGAAGGTGCCGGCTCCCTGCCGCATCTTTGGCGCCAGCTCAGTGCATGACGAGGAGCCGGCCCACAGCCTGGCCTGGCCACCCCACCGGGCGGTCTCTCAGGCTTCCCCACACGTGGCCTTTGGGGAGGCCCCAGCTGGGCTCTTCCCGTGCTATGTCCGAGGGCACAACTCTGTCCTTTATGACCCTCCTTCCTGCTCCCAGAGCCCAGCCCTGACCCTGCTGCTGGAGGACGAGGCCTGCTGGCTGAGGACACTGCCCCGAGCCCTGACCGAGGACGAAGCCAACGTGGAGATCTACAGGAAGGGTTGGTATCACGGCGCTTCCCTCGCAGCCTTCCGGAAGGCGGGGGTCACTTGGCTGTCCTTGGGCCAGCCCTTAAAGGGAAATCAGCCTTTTGGGCCAAGGGGGAGAGACAAGCTGCCAGGGGCTGGGCCTCGGGGCTGGCCAGCCCTGCCCCACACCCCGGCGCCCTGATGCAAGGCCATCTGGGGCCGGACGGAGGTCAGCCCAGCGGGTCTCCAGAGGCCGGATGCTGCTTCCCCCAGACCCAGGTGAGGACTGCTCTTGGCCTCTGGGAATCCGCCAGGGTCAGCAGAGGAACCCAGGCCGGGCAGGCTGGCAGGGGCCGGCTGCGGGGAGCCAACAGGACCAGGGCCCTGTGCGGTGTGGCTCGCTCCAGGAACAGTCAGGAGGGCCATGCTCCAAAGGGCCTTGGGCCAGTCCCTCACCTTCTCAGGCCTCCATTTCTTTTTTTTTTTTTTTTTTTTTTTTTTTTTTTTTTTTTTTTTTTTTTTTTTTAATTTTATTTATTTTTTTCCCCAAAGCCCTAGTAGATAGGTGTATGTCATAGCTGCACATCCCTCTAGTTGCTGTATGTGGGACGTGGCCTCAGCATGGCCAGAGAACTGGTGCATCAGTGTGTGCCGGGGATCCAAACCCGGGCCGCCAGTAGAGCAGTGCGTGCACTCAACCTCTAAGCCACGGGCCGGCCCCAGGCCTCCATTTCTGTGTGAGGCTGACCGGAGAGCTCGGTCAGGCACGGAGGCTCGCGGCCCAGGAGCTTCTGTCCCCACCTCCCTCCTGTGTTCCTTCTGCCTCCCTGCACCCTCTAGGAGTGGCCCAGGAGGGAGGTGGGAGAGCAGGATGGGAGCGGTGAGGACAGTCCAGAGATCAGGCGGCGCAGACGTGGGGCAGGGGCTTCTGTCTCCATCACCTCGGTCCCGCCTGTCCTGGGCAGTTTCATCCTGAGGAAAGCACAGCACAGTCTTCCGCATGTGAGGATCAGGGTGTCAGGGAGGCGGGGACCCCCCATTACAGATGAGGAGGTGCTGGCCCCGGGGGAGGAAGAGGGGGCCGACTCATGATAACATCTACAGCCAAGCGAGGGCCGTCCACTGCAATGTGGCCACCCGGGATGGCTGTGCACCCACTGACCACACGAAACCTGCCTCATTCCCCTGTGGGGGAGCTCCATTTGCCAGAATGTTCTGGGGGTGTCACCCTCATCATCGCCTCCTGAGCACACAGCACATTCCGCTGAATACCCCAGTGGAGGCAGCTCCATTCTGAGGACGGCTCTGTCTTCCAGATGGAGCCAAAGGCCATGGCAGAGGGCTGGGGCCAAGCCCAGGGCTGCTCCCACATACACCCCAGGCCCCCCAACCCAGGGGCCTCCCAGGTATGACAGGGGTGCAGAGAGGGTACTGAGCTCAGCGTCTGAGGACCTGGCTCTCCATCCTTCCCTGCTGTCAACCCCACAGACCTGGGCCACCTTCACCCGTGTGCCTCAGTTTCCCCCTCCGCAGGGGGGAGAGGACCCTGGCCCCTCCTCACCACCAGGGGTGCTCTAAGGACCCAGAGAGCAGTTGGAAGGCGCTCAAGTGCCAGTGTTGGCAGCGAGCAGTCAGCTGTGGGCTTGCACACCCACCAGGGATGTGGGCCAGTTAGCACTGCCCGGCCTGCCCCTCCTGCTGGCCAGGTCAGCAGGGCTCTGGCCACCTGTGTCTGCCCCAGCAGGACAGGGGTCCTTGCAGTGCTAATGCTAGCGAGGTGGCCTTGTCCAGGTGGGGCCTGTGCCTCTTGGGGGGGTTTCCTGGCAGCCTCCTTGCTGGACGCTGGAGGTGTTCGGTGGGCAGCTCAGCCTGGGTCCTGTTGGCCAAGGCTGCCCCCTGCAGGCCGCCGAGGGAACAGCCGCACCCAGTGGAGCTGCAAGGAGCATGGAGGCCGTTCTAGGGCCAGCCCTGCAGCTACCAGGCCCTCTGCTGCCTGTCCCACATGCCACCCCTTCTGGAAACCGGGGCAGCTCTGCTGGCTGCCCTCGGGGCCATCCCACTTGATGGCCACAGGGCAGGGAGGCCCAAGGAGCAGGCATGCCCCAGGAACCACCCAGTCACCCCATGGAGGCAGTATGGCTCACCGTGGAAACCAGCCAGCCACAGCTGTGACCCTGGTCGTGGCTGCTCCCTAACCGTGGCCTTAGCTCCATCCCCCATCCTGACTCTGAAGCCCGGTCTCTAAGACGGGGCAGCACAGAGGGGCTCGGGAGGATAAGATGGGGGAGTCTTTGTGGGTGCTGCAGGCCCTCCTGTCACGATGCCTTTCCTTCATCTGCAGATGAAGCCCTCTGGTGCAGGCTCACGAAGCCAGTGCCAACGGGCGGACTGCTGAGCATGCTCCTTGCGGCTAAGCCCCGCAGCGCCCCCAGCCACCCTGTGAAGGAGGAGCCAGCAGAGCCTGAGGGCCCGGCCCCCTCACACACCGACATTCAGCTCCTGCCCCAGCAGGCCGGCATGGCGTCCATCCTGGCCACAGCAGTTATCAACAGTGAGTACACCTGGCCGTGCCACCCCAGCTCCGTGGCAGTGCCACCACAGCCCTGGGCACAGGGCTGCGGTGGTGCCCAGGAGCTCAAGAGCTGCAAAGATCTGTTACCACTGCCATCTGAGCAGAGGCGGCGGTGTGGTGCAGCAACATGCACCAGGGGCTTGAAGGTGGGGTCCCAGGAGGGGGGTTGGGGGGCTCCAGGCTGCAGCCAGCGCAAGAGGGCCATGTGGTTGGGCTGCAGACACTGAAAGGGCAGCCCAGCAGAGGTGGGCCAGGCAGGCCAGCAGGTCCCAGGGTCCGGTCACACAGAGGAAGGCCCAGCGAGCAGGCACAAAGCTGCCCCTGCCCTCTCCCAGGAGGACAGGGAGCAGGGCATACCGGAGGGCTTCAGCTTCCGCGCTACTGACGTGCGCCATGGGACGCTGCGCGCCAGCCCCAGCCTCGCGGTGAGCACGCCTGGCGCACTGGTCCCTGCTTGCCATGACACATGGCCTCAGATGGTCATCGTGATAATCAAACAGGACTCACTCATCCCACAAATACTCTAACATCCACGCTGTACCACAGGGTCAGGTCACTGAGGTGGGGGCGCTGGCCCACCTTGAGGGCACCAGCACTCCAGGGAGGACAGAGGCGGTGGCCTCGGCATGGGTACGTCTCACAGAGAAGGACAGCAGTGACATGATCAGACAGTGGCAGGGGGCTACTTTATTGGGGTGCTCAGGGGAGCTGCTTGGACGAGATGACAGGCCAGGACCCGCACACAGGGGACAGAACAGCTGAGTGGACAGCCCTTGGGGCCGAGGCCCAGCGAGGGGTCACTGTGGCCAGCATCGGCAGTGCAGCAAGGGCGCGGAGGGCAAATCTCCCGGGGAGAGCATCCGGGGGACCCGGTGAGGGCTGGGATGTCCTCTCAGCACCGAGGGCTCCCCCAGAGGCTTCTAAGCAGCAAAGGGCATGATCCAATTTAGTTTAAAATGGCTCAGGCTGCTAGGTAGCACGTGCAGGGTTGCAAAATCAGAAGAAAAGTGACCTTTTTGAGTAAGTTGAACACGATGACTGCTTGAAGCAGGTTGTGGCAGCGGAGACAGAGGCCAGATGGGGCACTGAAGCCAACAGGGACCTGCCGAGTGGGGCTGAGGAGGAAGCAGCAAGCACAAGGCAGGGGCTTTGCCCATGGGTGGTCATGTCAGTACTGTCATGGGCGGGGGATCGGGAGAAGAGCTGCTCTGAGCACCCTGCCCAAGATGCCTGGGTGCTAACATGGAGCTTTGGAGGGAGCTGGGACTGGGGCACAGTCAGAGCCAGATAGGCCCCCTGGGGAGCTCTGGGGCAGGACCTGCAGACACGAGTCAGGGGGAGGCGTCTGCCGAGGGCAGTGGGGGTCCGCTGCGTCCAGGCTGTGGTGAGACCCAGGGCAGACAGAAGTGACTGCTAGACGGGGCAGTGTAGAGATTACCGTGACCCTGAGCAAAACCGCTACAGTGAGGGAACAGGGAGTGAGGGAGAGCACGAGGGGACAGAGGAATGAGACCGTCAGGGGACGCAGCTTGCTTTGCTGGAACTTGAGCAATCCTGGTGTGCACTTGTGCGCTGGTGGAACTAACAAGAAACTGGTGACACTGCGGTGGTGGGGGAGCCACAGGCGTGAGGTCCACCCCCAGACCCCGTGTGGAGCGGCTGGGCTGGACAAGGCAAGGCCACTGCCCCAGGGAGAATGGGGTCCTGCAGGGGGACTGAGAGGATGGCGGCAAGCAAGTGGAGGACTTGTCTGGAGGTCGAGGTTTCAGGGGAGAAGGGAGGCTGAAGGGGCAGGGAGGTGCATCCAGGAGACCCGAGGCCGGGAATGGCATCTGGTGCCCAAGTGGCAGAACGGGGTCGGCAGAGTCCTGTGGAGGCCACCTCCCTATCTCCCCCATCTGGCTGCTCCGATGGGGGCTGTCGGGAGCCCCCGGCACTGGGGAGCTTCCTCTCTGGAGCTGACGGGGCTCAGCCCTCTGGGCCTCAGTGTCCCCCTCTTTGGTCTGAGGACGTGGTATCAGTGCCTCACCCCTGAGCAGCAACATCCCATGAGCGTGTCACTGGAGAAGCCACCGTGGGCCAGACGTCTTGTTACCTCCGGTGGCGAGGGAGCAGGGCTGGGCGCCTCGGAGGCACATTCGAGCCCCGCCCCAGCCCTTCTGCAGGGGCTCCTCCAGCTGGTGGTCTGAAAGGGCCTGAAGAACCCAAGCCCCAGAGTCAATCAGACCCATTTAATTCCTGACACTTCACACTCCGGACCTCAGTTTTCTCGCCTCTGAAATGGGGACAATGGTCATACCAGCCTCAAGGCGTTGGTGCAGGTTCCCTGGGCTGTGCCCATCCAGGGCCTGCCTGTGGTCAGCCTGTGGTCAGCCCTGGGCTGGTGGGACTGTGACCCTCCTGGCCAAGTTGCAGGGCTGTGGCCGGGGCTCGAATGCGCCTCCAAGGCGCCCAGCACCGCCCCCCCGCCCTGGCCACCGGCAGCCAGTCCCCAGCACTGACCTCACAGATACAAAAACAAAGCCACCAGTGGCCTCTCAGGTCCCGGTCGTAGCCCAAGGCCTCAGCTGATAGAGCAGAGAGCTGCCCTGAGGCCCCCAAATAAAAGGGAACTTGAAAAGCAGAAATAAACAACACAGCAGGAAGGGGATTTCAAGGAGAAAAATCACCAGAAAACTGCAGGGACATGAGAGGTGGCCAGCCACCGCACCCAACAGACAAGTACTCAAAGTCCTTAAAAGACGCAAAAGGTGGAAAAGCGGCAGCCCCCTGGGGTGCTGGGGGACCCAGGATAAACATCGCAGAGGCTGGGGAGAGAAGCACGTCCCAACCTGCAGAAGCAGAAACCACATCATACACTGTCTCTACACGAGACAGCCTAAAACCCAGATAAGGAGTCCCGGGCCCTCAGTTCCACCTCAAGGTCAAGGTCAAGGTACAGAACAAGCCCTCCCCTGCCTTCAGGCAAGCGGCAGAGACAAACAGAACACTACTTAACGTTCTGCTATAAAGACACAGTGAGAACCAGAGACTGGGGAAGCACCTGTCAGAAATCCTCACGCACTGGCAAAACCACCCCACAACCCAAACTCGTCAACCGGAAAGTTAGAGGCAGCGTTAGGAGTAAATTTGGTGAATTCAGCAAATGTGACCATTTGGTCAGTAACTGATATGGAGCCGTCCAGGGGTATGGGGTTGGGGGACACAGGAGGGCTCTTCCTCTGCAGCTCCCAGCCTCACCTCCGCCCACCCAACCCTCAACTCTCGTCCTCGAGCAGAGTGCCTGGGGATTCATGCATGTGGGTCCTCCATGCACCACTCACACACCTGTTCCCCTGCACACGCACACCTTGCTTCCTCCTCCATGGGCACCCGGGTCCACGCCATCCCTCAAGTCCCCTCGCCAGGGCATGTTCACGTGCACACAGTCACTCCCCCAAGTCACACACATAACCAGATCACGGGCCCCAGCCTTGCCCCGAGGTGTCCACTAGCATGTCCACACTCCTTCCATGGGCACCCCATAAGACCAGAGCATCTCCTTATGGGGCTCACAGCTGGGAGGCAGCATGGGGCCACCCTGGGGTTACTCAGACCCCGCATCCACATGTTCCCGGGGCGGCCTGGACATCCATAGACAGGGAACTCGGGATCATAAAGGGACAGATGAGAAGGGGCAGCAGTGACAGGGGAAAGGGGCAGGTCGCAAACTTCCCTCTTCAGAGCTGGAAGACATCAGGGGCAGCAAGGGCAAAGCCCTCATTTCGCGGAGAGTCCACTGCCCTGCCTTGGGGTACAGGCAGTCCCCCTCTGCTGCGGGGTGCCCCCTCAAGCTGCGCCCACCTCCTGCCCCCACAGAAGACGTCTTCCCGTGCAAGGACTGCGGCATCTGGTACCGGAGTGAGCGGAACCTGCAAGCTCACCTGCTCTACTACTGCGCCAGCCGCCAGAGTGCCGGCTCCCCAGCCACAGCCGCCACCGATGAGAAGCCGAAGGAGACCTACCCCAACGAGCGCGTGTGCCCCTTCCCCCAGTGCCGCAAAAGCTGCCCCAGCGCCAGCTCCCTGGAGATCCACATGCGCAGCCACAGCGGTGAGGCCCCACGCCCCCTCCCCACTGTCCTCTATGATAGCTCGTGCATGCCCACCACACCCATGCCACACAGATGCCTGCGTGGTCTTCCTGCCACACCGCACAGCCTGCCACAGGGCTCCCAGAGCACAGGGCTGTCTGGATGGCCAGCTCAGGGCTGGGCCCTTGCCGAGGTCCTGGGAGACAAGGGGCCAAGGAAGCAGGACTTAAAGAGCCCTCCACACACAGCCCATGTCGGGGGTCCTCGGCCGGCTGGGCTGCAGGAGCTGGCCCCTCACTGGACCCTGTGTTCCAGGAGAACGCCCCTTCGTGTGTCTCATCTGCCTGTCAGCCTTCACCACCAAGGCCAACTGTGAGCGGCACCTCAAGGTGCACACAGACACCCTGAGCGGTACGTGGAGGCTGTGAAGGGGGCGGGCAGAGTGGGTGTCTGTGGGGCCCAGGCCGCCCCAGGGCCCTGACACCGCAGCCTGCCCACAGGTGTCTGCCACAGCTGTGGCTTCATCTCCACCACAAGGGACATTCTCTACAGCCACCTGGTAACCAACCACATGGTCTGCCAGCCTGGCTCTAAGGCTGAGATCTACTCACCAGCGGCCGGGCACCCCACCGCCAAGTTCCCCCCAGGTGAGCCCCTGGGGTCCCCTGAGGATTGGGAAGGGAGAGGTGTCCCTAAGATAGCCTGGGGTCAATTTCGGCCTTGGCCCTCCACCACCTCTGCCCAGCCCAGCTCTCCCCTGCCTGCCCTCCCCCCTCCTCAGGTCTGGCCCCAGGCAGGTCCTGCTCTAGCCCTTAAGTGTGGCCCCTGGGGTCTCCCTGCAGACAGCCTGGCCAACTTCCAGCAGCACGCGGCCCTGCATGGGCCCCTGATCCCCACCGACCTAGGCCTGGCGCCCACCCCACCGCCAGGATTGGACAGGAAGGTCCTGGCCGAGGCCACCAATGGAGAGGCCAGGGCGGCACCCCAAAACGGGAGCAGCAGCGAGCCCCCCGCGGCCCCCAGGAGCATCAAGGTGGAGGCGGAGGAGCAGCCCAGGGCGGAGCCACGGCCGGGGGCCCCCTCACGGACGCCGTCGCCGCCAAGCCCCGCCCCGGCCAGGGTGAAGGCGGAGCTGTCCAGCCCCACGCCCGGCTCCAGCCCCGGTCCTGGCGAGCTAGGCCTGGCAGCCGGCGCGCTCCTCCTGCCGCAGTTCCCCGCAGCGCCCCCCGCCTCGGAGATCTTGGCCAAGATGTCCGAGCTGGTGCACAGCCGGCTGCAGGCAGGCGCGGGCGCGCAGGCTGGCCTCTTCACGGGGGCCCCTAAGGGCGCCACGTGCTTCGAGTGCGACATCACCTTCAACAACGTCAACAACTTCTACGTGCACAAGCGCCTCTACTGCTCCGGCCGCCGCCCGCCCGACGACGCGCCCCCCGCCCGCAGGCCCAGGGCGCCCCATGGCCCAGCTCGTGCGCCCCCCGACCTGCCGCCCAC